AAAGACTCCCAGAAACTGGCGATTTCACCAGGACCCTTGCGACGCTCGCCCCACCCCCGCACGGGGCCAGTGTGGGCGAAATCGCCAGCTTCTGGGAGTCTTTTGAGGCTTGGGAAGCCTCAGAAGAGTTCCAGAAGGTGGCAATTTCATCCCCTCTGACCCCCGGGGGTGCAGAGTGAGTCTCTAAAGTGAGGCTTGGGATGCCTCAGAAGAGTCCCAGAAGGTGGCGATTTCACCCCCTCTGACCCCGGGGGGGCAGGGTGAGTCTCTAAAGGGTCCTGGAACACACCCTAGGACCCTTTGGAGGTCCCCCTGCCCCCCTGCTGGGCCAAAGGGGGGGAAATCACCTTCTGGGACTCTTTTGAGGCTTAGGAAGCTTCAGAAAAGTCCCAGAAGGTGGCGATTTCGCCCCCTCTGACCCCCAGGGGGGCAGGGTGAGCCTCCAAAGGGTCCTAGGATGTGTTTCATAAGATGGACCTCTCCATAAGGCTCACCAATTTTTAGGAGAAGAAAACCGATTATTTTTTCCTGTTTTCTTCTCCTAAAAATTTGGTGTGTCTTATGGAGAGGTGCGTCTTATGGAGCAAAAAAATACGGTACAACATTATCATTTTTCCACATAGATATAACTAATGTTCAGAAAACACTTGTTTCAACACAGGTTCCTATATGTATAAAACAATTTTACTGCAAGAAATACTGATGGAGAAATGAATAATCAGACAACATGATAGCCCTCAGAGCTGCAACCAGGCACATAAAAGTAGCACCCTATCATGGCTCTTCTTTTCAACATCTATGCTATACTATTTCAACATCTATACTAAGATTTCTTTGGTTGCTTTAAGACAAAAGAATGCTTTCCAAGAATTACTTACTCTGTGGCAGAGGCACACTGTTTTGCTTAACACTAGAAACAGGAAGTTCTGTGTCTTGAAGCATCTGTGGCACTTGGGAAGGTATCTTGTCAGATTCACTCTCTGATACAGTTACAGATGGCTCAGTAGAAACAGCAAATGAGGACATCTCAGGCTAAAACAAAAATGAACAGGACAGAATACATACATTTTGGCAAAACTGTAACCATTTGTTTAATGAAGTCATGCTGTGTGCACGCTTAAATCACTAGATGCCCCAATGAAACGGGCTGTTGTTCACAGAAACATATAGTATAATACATACACTAGTCTTTAAGGTGCCAGTAGATTGCTCTTTTTATATGCCTTATTTGACCCATCAATGAACAAAATCTTATTGTATAAAGTTATGTCAGTGTAAGCTGATGATGGTATCAAGTGGCACCAATAACATTTAATTTAAATTAATTTAATTTTGGTTTTAGGTATCAAGACTTATAGAACTGGGAATGACAGTGGCAATTTTGGCTCCCAGATGCTTCCCCAGGGCAAAAGGGAGAGCTAAGCAGCTTCAGAACCGCAAATATAGGGATAAGAAGTTTGTTAAAAAATAATTTAAATTAATTTTTGCCAGTACAATCTGAGGATATCATAAATTATTGCTGGCATAAATGTATGCCAAATGAATTTGGGACAATGACTATCCTGAAGTTACGGAACAGAAGACTGATTAATCTACAGCTGACTATTTCATCAAAAAAGCCATAAAAATTACCTTCAACTGCATTAACGACAACATCAACATTCAACAGAATAACTATGTGGCATTATGCTGTTCTTAATTGTTCTAAATTTCCAGGAATATAGAGTGAGATAATCAGTTTACTATTCATATTAAACTTTTAAGACAAGAAAGAGACCAAGAATAATTTTATATACAACCACTGTCCTCAGGGGAGTCCAACAAACTAGGCTTCCCCCACTGAAAACACAGGGGATAATGGCAGAAGTCAACTGATGATTTATGCATGGATAAGTTAAATTGCATTAACTCACTGTGGTAACTATTAACTATAATCATCTCTTTTCTTGAAGCCACTGAGAATATACAAAAATTACAGACATCGGATGGGACAGAATTGAGCACCATTAACATTATAAAATTGGTTTTTCTCATTCTAAAAAACTCACTTAATCTAATAATCGTGGGTTAATTTTTTTCAGTATAAAGAGTATTTGGCCTTCACTCTGCAGTACGTGGGAGAAATGATCATGGACTTGAATTATTTATACTTGTATTCTTGACTTTGGCATCTAACAGATGTTCTTGATTACAACCCCTATATAATTCCCAGATACCAGGCATTACGTTGAGAAGAGATGGTGCATGCCTATTTGCTCTGCAGGCATTTATTCTGCATTTATGCCACATTATGGTCTGGACTGTACAGACACACTTGTGAGTGACTGGGGTGAACTAAGCCCACAGAAAGGGAATTCAACAGTATGTATTTAAAACATGAATTTGCAGCCTACCTTTTATTCCTCAACAGGGGAAAAAACATCAACTGTGTCTCCCCCACACCAAATCACATGTCAGGTTTACTTCAGTGTTCTATATACTGAATGTATGCTTAATTTTCACCTAGTTTTTGTTATCTATACCTCAGCTTGTTCACTAGTACTGATGGTCTTTAATGAGAAAGCTATCTCTTCTGGTTGAAATTTTGAGGTATCTTCTGGAAATTCTTCTCCAGCTTGTTTATCCAGGTCGTCAGCATCCTAGTAAGGAAGAGAAGAAAACCTCAGAAGTCCTAGAATAACAAACCCACTCTTTCTAATACTATAATTGATGACAAGCAATCTGGTGGCCTCCAGATGTATTTGTCAAGTACCATTAGTCCAAGCCAATATGGCTAATGGTCAGGAATTATGAGGGTTACAATCGAAAACACTGGAAAGAAACCACACTGCCAATTCTCTCTACTTGGCAAGAGTAAATCAATACGGAGCAAGTATGCAACTATAACAGAAACTACCCACTTTCTCTACCATTTTATTATTACACTTTGATTTCTTTTACAGGTTATGTTCTACTTTTGAGAATCAAATTTAAGCCAGAACAGGACAAAATGAAAGGTATTGTGAACTTTGGCTGAAGCAATATTAAGGGAAACTCTTCTGTCATAAGCTTGGTTGCAGACTTAATTTTCTTCAAGCAGACCTTCTGAATCATCAAAAACTGAAGTCATTCATGACTAAATTAATCTTGCTAAAGGTAGTGGGTCTATTTTAAGCATGCTGCTCTCACCCCCAAACGTCATAAACCTGTATTTTAAGCCCCATAGTTTTATACAGTTTTCTGTATCCTAAGAACAAATACCTGTTTCCTACATCGCTTAGACAGGAGGAAAATGATACTCATAGATATTATAAATTACTTGTGAAAATGATGCTGCTATATATAAATGTACAATTGATCAGAATTCTTGGCAAATGCTAGCAAAATTTAGGTTTCACACTAGCAGCTGAAATCCTGTTGTGCAGATCCATCTGCACAACTAGAATAATCTCATTAGCAAATGCAGACTGACACTGAAGGCTTCATTTTGTGATCTGGGGAAGCAACAAAGCCACAAGTACCCAAACAACTGCAAAAACAAGTCTTTAAACAGCAGTAATCTGCTGCTGCTGACATCATTCCCACTGTGCTAGCAGACCCCACCAAACAAGATTTAAGCTTCGGATCAATACTGAAATTGGAATACTTAATTCTGTCTCACCTGTAGAGGAGAGCTAGCCTCTTCTCCTTGCTTTTTCTTTTTCTTCTTTTTCTTTTTTGATTTACCACTTGCAGTATTTTGCAGAGTTGGTTCTGCCTTTTCTTTCTCATCATCCGAAACCTAGTGAAAAAAACCCTCAAATCTGGTTATTTCATCAAAACACATCATGTTTTTACATAATCATAGCACTGAACACAATTTTAGTTTTCAAAGCTATCAGTTAACAGTTACAATCCTATTGCTGTTCATATAAGGCTTGTGTAAGCGACTGCAGCTCATTACAGCAAACTGGGAAGGTACTGGAGAACCTCATCAATTAACCACCACAAGTTATAAAAACTTTATATGAACACTGTTAGGATTCTGGCCATTGCTTAACAAAATGCAATAGTGTACATATCAAATGTGTATTTTAGGTTTGTTTGATATGGGGTATATATGCAGTTTGAGTTCATTGGCTGGGTTGGAGGGTTATTTTATATGATTATTAACTGCCCAGAGTAGTCCTTGCCATTAAATCAGGTGGTACACAAATGACTGAAATAAATTCACATTCACTGTTTTTCAAAGAAGCTGAAATTAATTGAAAGGGGAAAAGATGCTATTGTCTATGAAGCAGTCTTCTTAAAAAATTGGTCCATCCAACACAAGGTGACTTTGAATACCTTTTGAGCCTCAGATAATGTTTCTTCAACCTGTGGAACAGAAGGAGCCTTTTCTTCTTCCACCCAGTTTCCCCATTCCTCTGCTGGGGCATTCCAATCAGAACTAGGATCAGTAGAAGAAAGCCCATCTGTGAAAGATAAAGAACATACTTTAGATGGTCTAAACTAAATAAGGAAAGCCGAGGAAACTGTATTGTACTGAATATGTGATTTCAGACAACATTTCTTCAATATCCATTATTACAACATAAAACTAGAGAAAGGCATTTAAATTGTTCTTCCTCAGGCCACCCATTAAGAAATGGTACTCTCTCTTAACAATTGTATTTTTAAAGTCCTTTATTAGAACAAGAATGGCGTTAAGACTTTTTTAAAAAGCAAAGTAACTGCTGGTATAAAATAATGACAACATCTCTTATTCTGGAACTAAATTACCACAACCTTAAGTATCTAAGGAGCGGAATTTTACTGACAAACTCTCCTGATGTTGGCAAGAATGGAGGCAATTCACTGAATCTCCCTTTCACTCTCTCAAAACTTGTTTCAGAGGGTGAAAAGATCTTCTGGAAAAGCACTGGAAGTAGTGCTGGAGGTAATATGGCCAACTTTATGTACTGCTTTAATGGAAACCTCTGCTAGATTTCGCTTACTTCCGTAAACAGAAAGGAACCTTTCCATGTGGGAAAGATATGTCTGAATGCAACCAAATACTGCTTCAACAACATTAGGCAAAAATCTTCACAACGTGAACTATTCTTTGATTTTTTTAAATATCAGAACACCTGGGCCATCATATAATTAGAAAAGAGCAATAACAATGAAAACAACAACTGTCCCTCTTTTTTTTTTTTTGAGCACAGCCCTTGTGCTGACAAAGGCAGTTGTTCAATCCATTACAAACATCCCCATGGTTCCTACAATATAAGCAATATAATTAATTATTGGCAGTCACATTATCAAGATCATGGTTACCCGATATTAAAATGTCTGCATAACTGTGAGGGCTCAAGTAATGTGTATTTTTTTAAAAAGACAACTTAAAAAAATCTCTTTGGTGTATATTTACTTATCCAGCTAAGTAAAGCTTTAGATGTTTGATAATGTAGATTCTCCCCCGACAAACCTTGTGTTGTAATACATTTTATTGTTTTATACACCAATAGACTATTTATTCTGAAAACACATGGATTAATTTGGCTCAGGAAGAACATAGGTAGCTAGGAACATCAAAAAGAATAGACATTGTTAAGCTACAAGTCAAATAAGGCTAAGAAATTTTACGTACTCAACCCAGACCATTCATCATCAATGGGTGCTTGATTACGATTTAAATCCCACTGGAAGTCTGAAGTACCAGCCTGAGCAACAGATTCAGTGCTGGATCCTGAAATGAACACAATATATACACATATATGCCCTGTTAGCTTCATAGAAACAATATGTCACTGACAGGCCTGTTACTCCATAATAAAACTCTTCCAAAAATACTACAGGCACCTTAGGAACCAACTAATGATTTCTGACATTTGGGTAACTTAGCCCTCATTTAAAATATTTACAATGTAAGGTTCGTGTGTTCTCACATGTTGACAAATGTACATACAACAATTCTTACAGATAGCAGGAATGACCAGGGGTTTTCTAAAAAAAATTAACTCAAGTACATAGTTCAATTGCACAATGCTTTTAAAAATCATACCAGGAACTGTAGGATTTAGTCCCAAGGAAGAAAATGAAGCAGAACTCTGTTCAGGAGTATTAATTCTTCCATCCACTCCAGACCATGCTGTTGAAAATAAATAGCACATTTAAGCTTTCTCAACTGGCAATTACATTCTTATCATACTAGCTTCTTATAAGATCTTAAGGTCTAAGATACTGTAAATGCAATGCACAAACACTAAAAAAAATCAGTGTTATAGGTAAGAATCTGACTCCACCAGATTTCTGGTCAGCTGCAGCAACATGCCAAACAAACTGAATGTTCTTAATTTACTACCAGAGACCCTTTGAAAGTCTGCAAGCTTATGCCTGTGTACCTTTACAAAATGCTTACACTTTTATAAGTATTTCATTCACTTTTTACATAATCTGCTTGAGCAATTTTGTGATGTTATGCAACAATAAGCTATGTGGTCACATCTGAATGATTCCCACACTATGGCATGGCATAACTCAAACATATCATTTTTATAATCAGAAAAAAAAATCCCTTTAACTATTGAAATAATGAGACTCTTCTCAACACTGTTCACAATCACCTCAGATTTTGTGTGTGAGAGAAAGAGAATCTTTACATTTCTGCATGCACACACAGAGTACTTGAGACTACAGATAACTACACTTCTGTCCTTTTCTCAGTAGTGGCACAGCAGAATGATTTTCAATAATTTAAAATTTCCAATGTCTGTTTTGCAGTTTTTCTGATGCCCAAATCATTGTCTTCATCATGAAGAAGTTGTGGGAGCCTTATAATGGAAGGAAGAAGAAAATCTGTTCCTACCAGCAGTTTTCAATAGTTAAAGCCTTCCTCCTTCCATCCCATGGTTTCCATCTGAGGAAAGATTACTAATAAGGTGGAAAAGCCATGCAAATTTAAGTTAGTGAAAACTGCCCTCTGGCTTTGACATTATCCACCTTTCCTATGTGTAAGTTATAAAACAGTATTTCAGTCATTCATTTGATTTCAAAAAATCCTAAACACACAAAAATCCTATTCCTTATGACAACTCTTTCTTGGAGAAACAAGCACTCGCACTTACCAATACCAGGGAACAAAGTGCGCTCACCCCAGGTTCTGCCCACCAGGGACACTCCCCAGTCCTTTCCATTTCCATTATCTCCAGCATCTTTTCCCCAAGCTGATGTCTCATTCTTCCTCTTGCTACCTGCAGATGATACTGGAGTCCATTTCTCTTCGGCTGTACTGATCTGAGGAGAAAGCTTTACAGGCTTTTCATTCCAGTTACTTCCATTTACTGTGGGGCCTTCACTCAGACCTGAAGAACCTTTGAACACAAATGCAAACACACAAACATAAATTCCCTTTTAAAAACTTTTAAAACAGTGCAATCATATTATTAGTATATCTGCATCGTGATTCCTTTGCCACTGCCACGCAGCCATTAAAACAACATCTATGGTCCTATTCATTTCCCCCTCCTGTTGAGTAACATATAAGCCCCATTTTTCTCCCAGCAAGAAATTGCTAGCTACAGTCACAGTGTGACTACTAGAATATGCAACAATAATTTCTGGATGACCAATATGATTTTAAATGTTAAGATATGAGCAAACCTAAAAGGAATGCATACAGCTACTTGGCTCCTCCCAAGAAGGGGGGGAGAACCCCACAACACAACAAGACAAGACAGTGTTTCATTTATTATGGTTTTTCATTTTAGTCAAGCCAAGAAGCCATGGTTATTGACTGCCACACACACACAGATTTGTTATGAAACTGGTGTGTTTCTAGTTTGGACAAAATGGGAAATTACAGTTAATGAACCTACTATCTTTTAAGCTTATGAAAAAGGAGACACAAAGCTGCTACGTGCATTCCTTTTATGGTCATTTGTATTCTAAGCCAAGATACCAAACATGGCCATCACCTGGTCTCCCTTTTCCTTCCCTGAAAGGAAAAATTTTAAATATGTATGTTTGGGTTTCTCAGTTCACAGCTATAGTAATTATCTACAGAAAGGGATTAGAACAGTTGTTTCCAACCTTAGGTCCCCAGAAGTTCTTGGATTACAAATCCCATAAATCCTGACCTGTGCAGCCAGTGGTGAAGGCTTCTGGGATTTTTAGTCCAAGAACATTTGGGGACGCAAGAATGGGAGCCACTGGATTAGAAGAACAGAACACTGCTTCTTCTTCCCTAACATTATTCAGAGGACAGTAAATTTAGCTATCAGAAAATCTAAACAGTTGGTTTCCTTTTTCACATATAAAACTTGTATTATGAACTTGTGGAGGTAGAGACATAAGATCAGACTATAAAAAACATAAGCAACATTCACCTCTTATTAATGACATTCATTTTTTCTGAATCAGAGGAACACTTATACGCCTCATCCATATTGAGTATCTGTGATCAATATTATTAGGTAAATGTTCAGGTAAACCAATAAACAAAATCCTGAACAGTATCAGAAAACCAATAAATGTTTTATGCAAAGTACCTTTGCATAAAAGGCATACCTGGCTGGAGTGTACCATCCCCTTTTCCAGATTTAGAGTTACCAACTTGAACACTCAAAATTGGATCGCCTGATTAAGAAAAGGAAATGTCAGTGACTGAATATCCTACTGTCATGTAAACAAGTTTATCATTCACCGTGACAGACAGAAGCACTTCTATGCACCATAATCTGAGCATCCCATAAATGTCTAGTCAGTGTGTTCTGGAAGAAGGTTTTTTATTTAAAAAGTCTGCTGTGACATAAGATTTAAAAAAAGAAGGAAAAAATTACCATACATTAATTAGCTTGTACTAAAGAATATTGAAGATGTCACATGGTGGGTAGATAATGCAACTGATCTGTTCATAATTTATAGGCTTTATATTCACTGTTAAGAGACTACAAAAAGATCCATCATTTCCTTCCAGATACTTAACACTGTTTCCTGAAAACAGATTTCAGATAAAACAGTGTACAGTACATATACAACTTGTACCTTGAGGCTAAGGGTAAAAGGATGAAGTCATAGCTACAAGTGCTATTTTCTATTCAGATGTTAAAACATTGTATATTCCATATTTAGAATTACTAGACTTCCAGTTTAATTCTGTTATTTCCCTTTGAGACACATGTCGAAAAGCAGGGAATATCACAAAAATGTCACAGAATTATGATCTGAAATGCATGAGTTACATTTACTTGGCAACACTGTAATGAAAAAGGAATACAATTTAATTGTATTAATGAGCACACAGTTATAGATTGAGCTATAAATAAGTTAACTTGTAACTTAAAGGTTAAGAAAGGAGAGATGAAAAAGAATAATTTCTATGATATATGGGGCAGATTTCTTGAATATGTGCTAACAAGAGGAAAAGGGAAAGCTCCAAACCAAAAATCAATGCAGTTCTGGGGAAGAGGACAATAAAGGAAGAAGAAAGATAGAGGAAGAAGAGGATTACTGCAAGAGGTCCAGACTATGGTGGTGGGAAACATGGTTGATTTGTATTTTGGTTTATGTAAAAAATTAATACATTTACAATACAGTACAGACAAAATATCAAGTTGTGGCCCAAATCAAGTGTGGTGTTACAATGCCATTACAACAGAAGGTTCCTCTTCTCCCATCCTTACTGCAGCTGTTGCTATTACCTCAAAACCAGACTTGGAATACTTCCAAGCCCCCCTAATCAAGCTTCCAAAAGTAGGAAATGACAATCCCATCCCCACCATTGTGATGGTGGCAGCTCAGCTCTGGATACTGTTCAATACTTTGCATCATATATAGTGTTGAAATCCAGTACAGTAGGAACTCCATATCTGCTGGAGATTGGTTCCATGTCCCTTGTGGATACTGAAAACCACAGATAATATGGTACAGTATATATATTGAATGGTAAAAGAAAAAAAACCCCAGAAAAATATTTTATATGCATTATCAGAACTGGCCATGAGAGGGTGCCAGAGACCATGCTATATAATTAACCACTAACAAGTATTCACAGCACAGACTGGCTCCCTCCATTGGCCGGTTCTGGTAATACATGTGAAAATAGGGTTTTTTTTCCTGGATTTTTTCCCCTTTAATATTTTTAGACCATGGATTAGTGAAATCATGGATATTGATCCCATGGATATAGGGGTCCTACTGTAATGAAAAGTTATGGTCTGTAAGCCTGACGACATTATCAACTACAACCATATTTTGTTAATAAAGTTTCCTATCTCCCCCATCAGTTCCTGGGCTCTTGTAGGTCTCGAAGGTGAAGTCTTTGGGGAGAACAAGACAGGGGCAGGGGAAGGGAGTCTTAAATGTCTGAAAATCACCACTTTCAGTCCTGGTGGCTTCAGCGAAAATGGCAGCAGCAATTTTCTGGATATTTAAACATACATCCCATCCCACTGTTCCCAAAGGGTACCTCAGGACCAAAGGGATCCCTAAAACCTGAGAGTGGGACAAAAATCTTTTTATTAACAAAATCCACCCCCATCTGATGACATTATCAGACTTACGTGGCACTGCATTACTAGCTTTTAGCCAATGTCTTCTACAGCAATGTCTACGCACTTAAATTTGAGGGCTCCTTTGTCTAAAACAGCATGTATTTATCTAATAGTACTATGACAATTTGGTTTTTCTATAGAGAAAAAAATCATAAAGCCATGTATTATTCTAAACTGTATTTCCATAGATTATAAAAATGGTTACAGTGTATTGTGAGTCATGTCAGCCGAACAGTGACCTGTGGAACTTGAGATATTCCAGAAAAAGACAGGAAAGAGCTTTATGCAAAGATGACAAAACAAAATTAATGTCTGAGAAATTAAACCAACTTCATCATCTACTGAGATTTATGCTTCAGGTTTTGGCCAACAATGAACCATATTTCAGAAGTAATTAAATCTCCAGGAAAGAGTTCCTATTATAACTGAAGTTTCTCTTTGCTTGTTCTACAATTTTTCTTCTGCTTTAAGAGTAATTGCACTTTCCTAGGAAAAGAAACAAAAAACAGAAGCAGATCAAAAGTCATATATCTACCTTTGTTCTTTCTGGGACCAACTGAAAAGGATGTTGCAGATGTTAGTTGTTCAGTGGATACTAAAACTGAATTTTCCGTAGTGGATATATTTGATTCTGACCCAGCATCAGTCAGTACCTTGTCACGTTTACGCTGCTGGCGTTTCTCTCTGTTACTGATTTTTGTTTCCCAAGCTCCTGAAAGAGTTGTAAGAAGGTATTTACAATAACAAAAAAGAACCCTAACCCAGTTGCTATCAAATGATGTCTAAAGTAAAGCTTTTGATGTCCCTTCAAAAGCTTGTTGAAATCAACAGCATGTAAATGTATTACTCTGAAAAACCACTTGCCTACCATTCTGAAAACCTCTTGTAACAATTAGCTTCAGGACAGCACTGGTGAAACTTGACAGCATACTCTGAGTATCCAGGTTTTCTATTTGGTCTTTGCTTTCTGCTCTCTTAAAACGCCCGTCCTATAGGTGCTGACTCTGACTGACATACTTGGTTGTTAATTATCTTAAACAGCTACTAGAAAAGTGTTATCATTCTAACAGTTAAGCTGTCTCCTTCACTCGATTCTCCCCAGCAAAGCTGAAGTTTCATGTTTTGAAGAGAGTTGCAACAGTAGAATTTCATATGGCTTTGGACAATCTGATAATGAGGAATCATTTTAGTCTGGAGTCTATCTTGAATCTAACTGGATTGCCTTAGCCACACTATTTTAGAAATTAAGAAAAAAGTATGGTTGTGTGGGCACATTGTTTTTGTTTAAATTTCTCATGGCCTTTTGTCTATGGCAGTGGTCCCCAACCTATTCCAACTGCAGTGGGGGGGGGGCAGAGCACACTCACAGTGGTGTGGTGTGCCCGCAGGGGTATGGAGTGCACTTGCGCTCGGCACGTTCGTAGGGAGGCAGGAGATCTGTGTCCGCAGTCCTGTCCTGCCTAGGCTGTGGACCAGGGGTTGGGGACCTCTGGTCTATGGCATCCTTCTGTACTGGCTCAGTATTGCGGGCATCAATCTTCTACCCGCAGTGTTAGTTTCAGAGAATGGCACTGGAAGACTGTTGCTTAGCCTTGCTGCAAACATGCTACAGAATGCACCAAGACTAGAGAAGGGGGTATTGTTATACGAATATCCCCACACAGGTGGAAATAACAAGGGTTATCATCCACTCATGATTTCGCCGCCACCACTGGCTCAGCAGAGGCTTCCTATCGCGCCATTGTCTGCAATCGATTACCCACTCCTGGCAGGAGGCAGGATGACAAGCCTCTCTGCCAGGTTGCAGACTGGCTAATCCATGGCAGAGAACGGCGCAATACGAAACCTCCACAGATAATGTGGCAGCGGTGAAATCATGAGTGGACAGTGAGGACCCTTGTTATTTCCACCTGTGTGGGAACATTAGTATTCATATACAAATACCCCCATCTGCAACCAAGACACTCCCATCTTGGTTCCAACGTTATTAAATGTCTCCATGAAGATACTAGGAGGAACCATTAGGACTGAAGCAAAATGCTGCATCTGCATCACGCAAGGCCCTTGATCAATGCCTGGATACAGTGGTTGTCTTGGATGAGAGCCAAAAAACCCCAAGGTGTAGCCTAGTAAGATGAAGTCTTGGTTCCCACATTGATAATTACTCAGATTACCTGTTACAGAATAGGCTGCACACTTTCTGAACCATCAGCTGTATAACCTAGTTACTGTTGGATCCATTTTTGTTGCTGGAGGCTCAAGTGGCCTCAAAGTCTAAGTGTATTTTTCAATTTCAGCTGGTATACTAGCCCAAATCTATTCTTGCATTGGAAGCTTGTTACTAGTGGTACAGGTACCTGTTCTCAATTTTGCATTACACTTTATGTGGGGCTGCTTTAAATGCAGCTCTGGAAACTGCAGTTGGTTCAGAATGTTTCAGTTAAACACCCTGTTTCCCCCAAAATAAGACCTAACCTGAAAATAAGCCCTAGTATGATTTTTCAGGATGCTCGTAATATAAGCCCTACCCCCAAAATAAGCCGTAGTTAAGTGAAACCCCACCTTCCACCATTGGGCAGCAACCAGAAGATGACATAACTGTAAAATAAAACATCCCCTGAAAATAAGCCCTAATGCGGGGTTTTTTGGTTGTTTTTTTTTGGAGCAAAAAATTAATATAAAACCATGTCTTATTTTCGGGGAAACACGCTATTCACCAAATCACAATATGCATAGAAAAAAAATCACTTTCACTGAATATTCAATTCCAGAGACCCCAATGGATAAGAAAGAATGAATATTTACGTTTTTTATTCATCCCAAGGCAAGGCTGCTGGAATGGTAGCTTATCTGGCAGCCTAGCCTTCTCTCTCTGCTTATGCACCTGCTGAACAGCCGATCCAGGTCACATTCAGTTGCTAGAACATAAGCGCTTACAACTCAGTTATTGAAATAACCATGTTCTCTACACAGAGTCTCATTTGATTTTTTTGGTGAAGCCCTTCTAGAAGTCTAACCCATGGCTTTCTGGAGTGAGAGATGCAGAGTGTAGTTGAAGCCACTATACAGAATACTTTTCCCCCTGAAATTTCTTTGCAGTCCCCAGCATCACCCACCCCAGTGTTGCAGGGTAGGTCCTCCATCCTTATGAAGTGGCTTTTGCAGAGACATACAGGACTATAGAGAAGTGGTGGCAAGTGAATGAAGATCACTGCTGCCCCCATTTCTCCAGCAGGTTTTTTCAGATGGCTTAGACTACTACAGGTGAAACCACCCCATCTATCCACAGAAAGCCATGATTAGAAACATGATTATTTCAAGATACTAGAGTGAACAATCTATTTCTTATCATATTAATAATTTGACATTCTTTACATTAATAGGTCAGTATTTGCATACTGAGTTGAGAGCTGCTGATTTATTAATCACAGCACAATACATACTTGTCACTGCTATCTGAAGGCTAAGCCTTATCAGATAAATTAAAAGGATCTGATCTGAACTTATTTTGCATATTGGATGTTGGGAAGGAATAAAGTACCAACTTTTTTAAATGCTTTAGAAAAGCTTTGGAGGATAATATTTTACTTATTCTCTTTTAGATCATTTATAAATTGCGTACATCTAAAGATTTTTAAATGATGCATATGTGATAAATGGATATTCTAAAAATTACACATAAAATGTTATATACATAAATCATATGTGAGTACTTGTAGGAGTAAGTAGTAGACAAAAGTGCACAAAGAATGTTTGCATATATACAGGTGTCTGTTCTTAAAAATAATTTGAGGGAAGAGGAAAATAGTCCCAAGCAATTTCCCTTCATTTTTTCACCAGTTGGAGCAAGTTGAAGGAAAATTATCTAGAACCAAAAAGATTTTCTAAACTTATGGCCAAAGGTTAAATTCCAGTGGTAAAGTGCTGGTACTTAAGAAGGGGGCAGACCCTGTTTTTTCTCATCATGTCATATTACTTGGTACATGATCAGAAGAAAACAGCACCAACCTCTTTACTGATGACTATTTGCCACTGTAATTTATGCCAGCAGATTTGTACTGGGACAAATGTATAATAAGATTCCAGCAGATAAGTTGTTTAAGAACATGCATGATAAATACCTTCATCAACTTCTTTTCCATCAACACGTAATTGATCCTGAACAGTTCTAGCATCTCCTTTTGGTTTCTTCTTACTCTTCTTTGACTAAAATGGAAAGTAAATGTTTTCTCTAAGTATTAACTAGTGTAATGAAAACACTTGAAGATGATCACCAAATTAGCATAGAAGATACACTAAGTTTATTAACAAGTATCAATCTGGAATAATAACTTAGAAGTACAATTCTTCAACACAGCTGAAGCAATGTATCTTGAAACATCTAAAAAGGCACCAAAAGCACATAGCTGTTTTTCACTGAAACTAAGATCTATTTTGTAAAATATCTTCTAAATTAAGGCTGCAATCCTAAACTGATTTATCTGAAAAAATCCTGTTAAAAGTAAGTGTGTTGCTGCTGCTGACAGACAATGTTGTTGGACATCTGTCTTTCATACAGCTGTGAGACCAGAGGCGAGGGGATTGAAACCCTCGCCGGAGTGTCGTCCTTCTCTAAGAAAGAGCAAGAGACCCAGACAGATTCAGCAACCCCCCGCATTGCGACAGTGCAGCAGGAAGTAGACACCCAGGATCTAGAACGGGGTATGGCAAGAATATCGGTGGCAACTCAAACCGGGACTGAGAGGGCGGAACAGAAGAGAGGGGCAGACCGTTGGTGGAGGCGAGAAATGGAGGCGAGAAATGTGGATATAAAAGGGAAGAGAGATGACATACCAGGGGGTTGGGAGTTGATCTGGGTTGAGGATCCCTGGACTGGGAGATGCGAAAAGGTGCGAGTGCCTCGGGAGGAGGTCGATTACCGGAGGAGACGAGGCCTGCCTCCTAAAACCTCTTATTGGGGGGGAATCTGAAGCGAGAGAGTGGCAGAGGCAATTAAGGGAGAAGGAAGCGGTGGAGAGGGAAGAACGGGAAAGGAGAACATGGCATCTGGAGGAGGCTCGCCAGAGGAGGTATTCATCGGACCCTGGGACCCATTCTCCGAGGGCACTGACCCCTTCGACTTGGAGGGAAGAGATGAGGAGACCCTTCCCTTAATTGATAGTGGTTTAGATTCCCGGGACCATGAGGACACTAACCCTTTTATCAAAGGTCTCTGGTATGAATCTGGTTACAATCCGTTTTTACAAGATTTATGGACACCCTCCTTTGACCCATTGGCGGTGAGAGACAAAGTGTTAGACAAGTTTGATGCTACCAACCCAATGTTCAATGTTCCAATAAACCCAAGTTCTGATTTCACAAAAACAGAGCGTCCCGTGTTTGTGTCCGATCAGCCTGAGGCCATATTCGAACCTTCACAACAGCTCATAGTCAGTCTTACATAAAATAACTATTGAAAACTTCAGTACATGTTGATTTCTGCCATTTTCTTTCTTACTTTCTTTAAAAAAAAACACATTACAGTCCCTTACAGAGTTTGAAAGTCATGTATTCTATGATACAGTAACATGTGAGGTCATATATGAAAACTACTGGTAAGCTTCAAACACAAAGAATCAAGACTTGAAACAGAGGTCAACAAATGCATTGACAAATCATGAGTGCTTCCTCAGGCTTCAGATTCCCATGTCTGTCTTTGGCTTTAACAGGAACATCAAAACCCCATCAACTAGAACCAAACGTCATATAGTAGTTTAAGCACTTTGATATAAAAATGTACACTTTGATATAAAAAAAGACAGTGCTCAGATCATGCACCCAGAATATGAATTTGCTTCCTGTACTTGCTTAGAAACAAGGGTAATAACGGTAACAAGAAAACAGTTTGCCAACATAAGGAGGACTATACAGTGTATTTGCCTCACATTAAACAACTGAGAGTTGACAACCATCACAGATGCAATGAAAATAATCTATAGCTGTACCAGTACATGTTAGTCTTCCTTTTACCCACCTTTGCATGGCTTTGATGTATAGAGAGGATTGCAAAGCTTTATTTTTTAACTTGTTTTAACAGGGATTTCATTTCATACTTTTTAATAATATGGTTTGTTGTTGATGATGTTATATATTTTCAAATTGTCTCTGACTTATGGTAATCTCATGAATGACTGATTTCCAAAACGTTCTGGCCTCACCAGCCCTGCTCAGCATTTCTAAACTCAAGGCTGTGGTTTCCTTTATGGAGTTAGTCCACCTCATTATTGGCCTTTCTTTTTAACTCTGCCCTTAACCTTTATTGCTTTTTCCAGAGAATCTTGCCTTCTCATAGTGTGCCCAAATCAGGATGGCCTCAGTTTCAAAATTTTTGTCTGCAGAAATAGTTCAGGCATGATTTGCTCCAGGAGCCACTTGTTTGTCTTTCTGACAGTCTACAGGATCTATAAAGCTCTTCTCTAGCACCAAATTTCTAATAAATCAATTTCCCCCACATCAGCTTTCTTCTTTGTCCAGTTTTCACACACAGTGATCGGCAATACAACTGTGTGGATTATCTTGGCCATGATCTCCAATAACACATATTTATACTTGATTAACTTTTCTAATTCCTTCATTACGCCCGTCCGAGTTTCAGTCTTTCTTCTGATTTCTCAGCTGCAGTCCTCATTTGGATTGATGACTTAACCAAGGTATACAAAATCTTCAACAATTTCAATTTCTTCACTGTCAACATTTAAGTTGTCACTTCTGATCCCTAGACCAAATTTTCCAATGACATTCAGTTCTGCCTTGTTTCCTACTTCTGCATTCCAGTTTCCTATGATTATAAGCACCTCTTGTTTTGGTGTGTGATGTTTCATATTCTTCAGCATCTGTAGCAGAATCATATACTGGAATGATGTATATCTTGATAGGTTTTTCCAGACATCTGATTGGTATTATTCTGTCAGACTGTGTTATAAATCCTAAGTACCTGTGCTACATTAGTGACAGTGCTATTCACGCTTGCCTTTGCTCTTCCCCAGTAGCTGATTTGAGTGCCTTCTGATCAGGGAGACTCATCTTCCAAGCCCTATCTCTCAGTTCATTCTAAACTGTCTTATCTTAGGGTTTTTGAAATAAGAAAAGTTCTGCTGTGGTTTACCACTGCCTTCTTCTGAGCTTTACTAACAAAAGGTAGCTTGACTGTCATTTTCTGTAAAAGATCCTTTGCCAGCATCACCTTCAGCTATCACTGCTGTCCAGTAGTTGCTTCAAGACGTTTCTCCACACACACCCCATCAGCATTGGAACTATTCATTCTGTTCTACTGATGTGGCTGTTACCACTGATGTATCTTAGTCTATGCTTCAGCTGTGAATATTCTGCCTTGGGTGACCCTACTAGGAGCCCAGGCTTGTAATGGAGTCTAGCATCCTGATGGCATTGCTCTCAGCTTCTCTGACACACTCAGCTGCCACCACTACCACACTCTAGTGTGAATCCAAGAAGAAGATTAATATTATTAACTCCTTTTTATAGTGTATATTTTTATATCTGTAGCAGTTTTAATATTTCTAAGTAATTTGTTAGCTACTTAGAATACCTCTATAGGGAGAAAGACAGGCATTACAAGCTTAGAAATGTATACCTGCAGGCTTCATCACTAATCAAAAACCAACCTTTTCAGTTTTCTTTTCCACATCTGATGTCAGTGGCTGCTTTAGATTTTCTCTTTGGGTAGGGTGTATTATTTCCTCTTCAGACACTTCATGAGCAGGCTGACCATTAAGCTAGATAAATTAGAAAATTAAGCCATCGTGAAATTTAGACAGCGAACAGAACTATACATTCCTTACTGTAAAGAAATGCAAATGTTTAATCCTACTATAGCCATCTAGTGTTTCCTATATTCAGCTCATCCAAAGTTGATTAACTTACCTATCTGAAATATTGTTTGCTTGGAACACTTAGATCTCTACTACTGAAAAAGAAATAACCCCAAAATAGGTTTGGAAAGTAGACTAAAATGGATTCAGGCAATCAAAATATTCATAGGGTCCCTTTGAGCTCTCAGTTCTAAGATGATGATGACACACTGCTACCATGCACTTGACAGGAGACCCCTCAGTCTTAATTTGCTGATTTTTAAAAAACAAATCCCATCTATGTATATCTTCCTCCTCTCCTTGTTTCATTAGGGTTGCACAATTTTTTTTAGGGACCAGGTGTAAAAGACTCATCCTTTCTTGTAGTAAGGTGTCCAGTATCTCCAAAATCAGACACCATCCTAACCAGATACCATTAGCCATGACATGTATTAAGCCACTTTCCTTTCATGTACAAATATATACTGTCTCAACACTTCCCTGAAACCTCTATTCATTGTTCCCATATTAATAAAAGTTACAATTGTATCAATGCTCCTTTCTTACCATATTAAATACAAATTAGTACTATAATCCCCCACAATTACATCACAGTGACAGCCTTCCTCAAACTGATGTCCTCCACGTGTGAAATTACAACTACCATAACATACTAGAATGAAGGTGAAACATTATTTTCCCTAACCATTATACCAAGTCATATTAAATGCATCAACCTCTGCTGTATCTCCTTCCAGTTATGTTCTGAGGCACTGCTTCCCAAAGCCAAAGTAATGACTGCTTTTTGACCCTCTGGCCTCCACTTACGAAAGTCCCTATTTACAACCATTTTGAGTTACGACCAGCTCCGGCCGCAAAATTTTGCTTCTACATAGGACCAGAGCCTCCACTTATGGACAGAAAAAAGGCAGGGGAAAAAGGCTGGAAATTCAAATTACCAAAGTAATGACTGCTTTTTGACCCTCTGAAAAACAATCCAAAATTTTACAAAAATGTAGACTAGCTATTTAAAATGCTCAGTAATTACAGTGGTGCCTCCACTTACGAAAGTCCCTATTTACAACCATTTTGAGTTACGACCAGCTCCGGCCGCAAAATTTTGCTTCCACATAGGACCAGAGCCTCCACTTATGGACAGAAAAAAGGCAGGGGAAAAAGGCTGGAAAGTCAAATTACTAACTGTAGGTGGTGACAAGGCTGCTTCTTTGGAGCTCTTTCGCCTCAGCAGTTAGTGTGTGTGCAACCAGAGGAGGCTGCCTAGTAAGGTAAAGTGCTGTTTTCTGCTTTTTAAAAACTGTTCTGGGTGTTTTTGCAGTGTGGTTTTGGGCGGGGGGGTTATGTTTCTCTGCTGTGATGGGTCTTGGGGGTTGTTTTTTGGACTTCCCCCCATTTCCTATCGGTCTTGGGGGGCTTGGTTGCTTTTTGGAGTGTTTTTTTTCCATTTCCGATGTGTTTTGGGGGGATGGTTTGTTTTTTGCTTCCCCTCATTTCCGATGGGTCTTGCATGCTTCCCTTGCTATTGCTTTGTTTTCTTTGCATTTCCAATGGGTCTTGCACACTTGATTGCTTCCCCCCTTCTCCTGGAAGGGATTAATCGCATTTCCAACAAGTCTTGCAGTGATTTTTGTTTGTTATTTTTTTTTCCTTTGGCTGGAACCGATTAATTGCATTTCAATGCATTCCAATGGGAAATGGTGCTTAGACTTACGACCTTTTCGAGTTACGACCATCTTTTGGAAACAATTAAATTCGTAAGTCGAGGCACCACTGTATTTCCAGTTTTAAAAATAATGCATGGATGATTCTGAAATGAATATTTAGGAACAGGCCCCTCATTTTTTTAATCAAATGGTCAACAAGCTTCATTTAGTATGGCCTAAACCAGGTTTAGGGATATGGTGGCGCTGTGGATTAAACTGCAGAAGTCTCTGTGCTGCAAGGTCAGAAGACCAGCAGTTGTAAGATCGAATCCACGCGACGAAGTGAGCTCCCATCACTTGTCCCAGCTCCTGCCAACCTAGCAGTTCAAAAGCATGCAAATGCAAGTAGATAAATAGGTACCACCACGGTGGGAAGGTAACGGCATTCCCTGTTTAGTCGCGCTGGCCATGTGACCACAGAAACTGTCTACGGACAAAATGCTGGCTCTATGGCTTAGAAATGAGAATGAGCACCATTTAAACCGAAAGGATTGGTTGTAATTGTAGAAGGAGGTATGACTGGATTAAACGTTAAGGGGAACCTTTACCTTAAGCTGGTTACAGCACATAGTTTTATTTATTTATTTATTTATTTGATTTATATCCCGCTCATCTGGTCTGGTCGACCACTCTGGGCGGCTTCCAATAAGGTGTATACGAAAACATAAGAATTTTACAAACAGTCCATAACATATACAATAATAAAATAAATGAAAGAAAAAATAAAGAAAGAATTAAATATTGACAGGAGGGAAGGCACTTCTTCTCATAGTTCTCATCTATGTTTCAATAACAACATTCTCCAACAATTTCTTAAAAGAGAGAATAATTAAGATTATTCCTTAAATCCTGCATGGCTAACCTGTGTTAATTTTAGAGCAAAAATCTGGCTCTCTATATTTCTATTAACATTCCCTGTAAGTACATATGAAACATCTGTAAGGTTGATCTCTTTTCAAAACATAACAGTCCTAAATTGGCAGTGTCATAAAACCGAATTTCTAAATATAACTACAGTAGTTTGAGCTCACTTCATATTCTCACTTTACATGAGAAGCTGAAAGTGGTCACAGTTGCAAAATACCTCCTTCTACAATTACAACCAATCCTTTCGGTTTAAATGGTGTGAAGATTCTAACCTTCATACATTATGCTGTATTCCCAAATTCCTTTGAAATAATTTTGCAGACAGAACAAAAATTCAACTACTTCAAGTTCAGCTACTTTGTAAAGCCTCTATATGGAACCTACTAACAGCAACTGAAACAAACAGCTAGCTACTTGCTGATCAGCACTGTAGCAGTGTTTGTTTGTTTTTCACATGCTTTTCTTCCATAACTAGAAGATTCAGTCATAATCCCTTTCTACCGTGTTTCCCTGAAAATAAGGACAGGGTCTTATATTAATTTTTGCTCCAAAAACTGCATTAGGGCTTATTTTCAGGGGATTTTTTTATATACAACAATCTACATTTATTCAAATACAGTCATGTCATCATCTTCTGGTTGCTGTACAATGATGGAAGGCAGGGTTTCACTTAACTGGGACTTATTTTTGCGGTAAGGTTTCTATTATAAGCATCCTGAAAAATCATACCAGGGCTTATTTTCAGGGTAGGTCTTATTTTTGGGGTAACAGGGTATGAGGTACACTCTCTCAAGACCAGAATATTCTGACTGACATCTATATACAGAGGTCCTAATACAGAAATTTAGCCATAAGGGGCACTATGCTTACTATAAAGCCATTGTCCAAGATATAGAAGCCCTGCTGGCATAATGGCTGGCAACTCATGCATCTTGGAAGCTATCCAATGAAGGCAGCTACTGTACCATGCTGACTCTTATTTTATGCACTAGTGAACTTCAGCTGGCCTCAGAAGAGAACATGGGGAGGCTTAATGGGCTCTTGCCTGGACGACATTTGAAAGCCTTACTAAAAAGTGCTGTTAACATGCTGTTAACAGCTTCTTGGGAGGAAAGCAATGACAAACCTTGACAGCATCTTAAAAAGCAGAGATATCACCTTGCCAACAAAAGTCCGAATAGTCAAAGCTATGGTTTTTCCTGTAGCGATGTATGGACGTGACAGCTGGACCATAAAGAAAGCAGACCGCCGAAGAATTGATGCCTTTGAATTGTGGTTCTGGAGGAGGTTCTTGAGAGTCCCCTGGACTGCAAGGAGAACAAACCTATCAATTCTAAAGGAAATCAACCCTGAGTGCTCGCTGCAAGGACAGATCCTGAAGCTGAGGCTCCAATACTTTGGCCATCTCATGAGAAGAGAGGACTCCCTGGAAAAGACCTTAAATGTTGGGAAAGTGTGAAGGCAAGAGGAGAAGGGGACGACAGAGGATGAGATGGTTGGACAGTGTCACCGAAGCAACCAACATGAATCTGACCCAACTCTGTGAGGCAGTGGAAGATAGGAGGGCCTGGCGTGCTCTGGTCCATGGGGTCATGAAGAGTCAGACACAACTAAACGACTAAACGAAATGAATGAGTACTCTGGTACTGATACAATTCAAACCATGGGTACTAGCAATCATGAACCCACTGGCTCCTTACACAGTTGGATAGAGATACTGAAAGTGCAGAGGTTAACGAAGCAGAAAAAACCTAAACTACAAACTCAGAAATTATCTCAGATGTTAGCAGTGTTGTGTCTGAGGTCAAAGGGAAGAGGTGGAGGAAGTTGTTGTGTTACTACCACTCATATGGACCAAAGGTTTTGGTGTGAATATGATGTATGTTTATCATAGGCAAGAGCTGCTGCTTGCAAGGAGAAAAGATAACCCTTCATCTCCGCCACCCACAGTTAATATATTCAGGAACTGCATCAAAAGAAACAAAATGAGTTTTAGCAAGGAAAAAAATGTGAAGTCCTCCACTTAGGTAGAAAAAAATAAAACGTACAAATGTAGAATGGGAGACAGCTGGCTTGACATTAGTATGTATGAAAAGGACCTAGGTGTTTTAGCAGATCACAAGTAAATTTAGGAATCTAGAACATCTCTCTGTAATTTGTTTTACCACTACCCAAACTTAGCAAGTCCTAACTTTTGCTTCTCTGCAGTCAGCTTAACAGTGAAACATTATTAAACCATCTCAGAAAATGAAGTCATGTTTATTTTTCTGAACAAAAGTAGGAGCCTAAGGTTTTATTTTGTATATGCACTGACGTTCAGAAATGTGACATTGGGATGGCAAGAAAGAAAAAGTGTAAAGAGGCAGGACTAGCACATCTGAGACCTAAATCTAGACACTATTCAGAAAACACCCAAACTAGATATTTAGATTTAACTATTAAATCTAAACAATTAAAATCAGCAACACTAGTAGTAGTGATGATATTGTAAAACTATTTATTTATGCATGCATGCACACACGGATGTATCACATTTTTACCAGGCAGGCAAAATGCTAAGAGGGACCAAGTCTTTTGATCAACTTTCCCCATGCTGGAGTCCTCAGATACCTCTGGACAACCTATAGAATTTTGACAGCCGTCCAGGCTGCCGGGCTGATGACAGCTGACATCTGAAACACTTAGCAACCACCAGTTTGGGGGAAATTAAGGAACATCATTTCAAATTATTGTACACACAATCTTGTCATTTAAATGCCAGTTTAAACCATATTCATTTGTGTAAGCTTTCAGTATAAAAGTAACAGGGCCAGAAAATTTCCTGATTGTTCATTGCCCAGTTTCTGTAGTATATGACTGGGAAGGGTTTAAAACCAACACAACTTTAACACTCATTCTCCAAATTCATAATAGCAGGAGAGACTGAGGTCATCTCAGTCTTTGTCATAGCTTCACGATCATGAACTCTATACTCCTAAAATATAAGATGTATACTAAGTGGATCCTGAGGGGGTAAACTGTCTGAATACTTTGTTTTTAAAATAGATTAATCAAATTGATTGATTAAAAATTGCCAGTAACCTACAGTACAGTACCATGCTGAATCATTCAGTAGTGAACATCATACTCTTTAGGAATAAAGGGCAGTGTCATTGAAGCTACCAACATGAATTTGACCCAACTCTGGGAGGCAGTGAAAGACAGGAGGGCCTGATGTGCTCTGGTCCATGGGGTCACAAAGAGTCAGACATGACTAAACGACAACAACATCCATTTTAACTTCCAGGTTTGTGTGACTCTGGAATGAGAATTTCTGCTGCCTGCCTGGGGACAGAAGAGCAAGGAGCAGAAAATACTGAATGAGCAGAAGCCAAGGAACAACAAAACCAATGAGAAAATGACAAATAGGAGCACAGCTACCATAGTGTATTTTACTTGAATTCTAGACATCCTACCAGGGGCCTGCTTAGTTAATCAAGATTCCCAGCTTTCATTTTGAAAAAGAGTGAAGATTTATCTTTATATAATTTCATCAATTCCCATCTGAAGAAAAGTTACAATAATAGTCAGCACCACAGTAGCCGAGAAGAGAGGAAGTGAGAATCAGGTTACTTTTGTATTATAAACAGGCACACATGGAAATTTGGGGATTCAAAGTTACGAACTACAGCTTTCTAAAAACTCCAAGTATATCATCACAGTATAAATTCTATGATTCTTTAAGATAGCCATCTGTGTTGTGTAACTTATGACTGTATAGTACAAACATACCTGATATCTTTAGGATTTTTACAAGTCAGTTAAGCCAAAACTTGCAGTCACTATTCTGCCCAATTGTTCTGTAAAAAACAAACCTGCTATAGCCTTTCAGTACAGTTAGTCAACATGTGAAGTCACAGCAGTGATTGAGGGAGCCATAGACTTCTTACATATGCAACTGGTGTGCAGCCACACCAAACAGCAGTGGAATTAACATGCTGGAGTGATAGGTTGTTTTGGCATTCATTGCAACAGCCCAAGAACAACAGCCTAATGGGAAGGAGCTTTTAAACAAATTTGTAACCACATGCCGCTTGCATTGGAATCAGTAAGTAAATGGTTGAAATGTGTTCATGGGTAAATGACAATGGTACAAAATGTGTCAGAGTAAAGAATCATGTTGTCTTCAAGCTACAATCCACTTCTTTGCACAGCTTGGAAATTATTTTTCTGGACTACAACTTCCATAACTCTCCAGCTAGTATGGTCAGTGACTAGCTAGTTAGGAGATTCTGGGGATTGGACTCTGAAAACATAACTTTTGATCACTGTCTTCTGTGCATACAAAGCAGTTTTCCTAAATTAGTTCAATACAACAACACTCCTAAACTTGAGTTAGGCCACTACCAATATCTCCATTTTGTCTGTCAGATGTTGGTATAAGGCAGTACATAGCTTCAGTTAGGTAATTTTACATGCCTAGAAGATGATCCCAAAGTGTGTTGAACTTCCTTAGAAAAGCAATAAATGCTGAATATCTGCAACTCCTGCAGCTCTTAAAGGCACAGGAGTTCCGAAAAGAAAAAGCAATAAATACAGGGAGATCACAAAGATGCCCAAATTATCCAGGACCCAGGTTGTGCACTTTACAAGCAAGCAATCCAAGAAAACTCAGCCTTCTCTTTCCTATACAGACCAATTTTGAAAGGAGTGCTTCTGAGTGAGAATTTATGGTGTGCGCTGTTCAACCTATTTGCACATTAAAGAAGTAATATGTATAGTAAGTATAGTGTCTACTATGATTTAAAGACCTAATATATGGCAAATATAACACCAAAAGCAAGTCTTGGTCGGACTTTTTGTGAAGTGAAAAGACAGAGCAGAAAAAAAGAGAACACACCTGGAGCAATTTAAAGGGATTTTAACCAGCCAGAAGTGTGAATATGAAATAGATCAGTGTGAAAGAAAGAGTTGGAGCAGGAAAAGAATAAAGTATCAGAATGGGGATGGAACTTTTCTCATCAGGCAAAGCTGGATGCATTCACTAATACAAAATGATCATAATTACCCAACTATTTCAAACATTTCAGAATAGACTAGCCACTGTACTCACTTTACCACAAATATAGTGAAAAATCCTGAAAAGTCCAGGTCAGTTACTACTGGTAGTTAATCTTAGGAAAGACACATTGAACATGGCTTAAGCCAATGTACAAATGTCTACAATTAACATATGTTAATTAAGTAAGAAAGTTCTGTGCACTAAGTAAGAAAATTCAGCCTTGCAGTCCTTCAAGGACCACTACATGTTACACTTTTTGTACTGGATAGATCATGAAACCCAGATGAAGCTTCTCACATTAACTAGGAAACAGAAAGCTGAAGCAAAGGGTACTGCAGCCCACCAAAAAACTTTCAATTCCACTGCAGGAGCAGTGTAACTTGATGGAAAATAGCAGAAATTACTTTATCAATGAAATTTTTTTGAAAGGGCTAATAATCACATAAGCAGTTGCTACGATCTTTTGCCCACTAGTTTCAGATATTAACCGAAAACGTGAGAAATGTCTGTAGCCTCTATCCAGAAAGCCTCTATCTACTGAACCAGAGAAGGCGTGCTGACAACGTAGAAAGGCTGAAACAAATGCAATTCAGACAAGGTCCCACACTGAATTAAAATAATACCCTCTGCCCCCGTTTTGCTATCATATTTCTTGCTTCTCATCTTCCTCCTGTTGCTGCTTTTTTACTCACCTTGTCCGTTTTCTCGAGTAGTTTCTTCTTACTCGCCCTCTTCTGCTCTTGCCCCTTGAGAATCGAGGGCGCACCAGGAACCCCCTTGTTGGGGCCGCCAGTGCATCTCGTCAGGCCCAGGGTCGTCGTGGTCGCCGCCGCCGTTTCTTCTTCTTCGTCCTCCTCTTCTTCTTCGTCCTCGTCTCCCACCTTGGATGTTCTTCTGGAGCGCGTTCTGCCAGCATACCCTCCTCCTCCTCGGGCGAAGGCCACGGCCCACAGGAGCCCCAGCAAGACCAGCAGCGCGAGAACCGACGTGGAGGCGAGCAGCAACCAGGTGGGGAGGCGCTGCGGCTCCAGGCCGGCGGGCAACTCTAGGCCCAGCTCGGTGCGTAGTAGGTTCACGCCGGCAGACAACACTTCCCTCAGCCGAGCCGACACCTCCTCGGCCTGCTGGGCCACAGCCTCTTGCCAGCTCGTCGCAGCCATGGCTCGAGAGGGACGGAGCAGACACACACTCACCTCACGCCGAGCTCATCTCTCAGTCCCTCCAAGGACCGGGACTGAGAAGCCAAAAGGCCCCCGTTTACCCACCGCCGGCAGCAGCAGGGGCAGTCGGCCCGGTTCGGCCTGTCAAAGGAACTAAAAGCGGCGGTTGACGCCGCCGAGCAGCTCGAAGAAGGGCCTCCTCAGCCTCTTACGGCCCAAGAGAGCAACGTCATCCCTCCGCCGCCGAACGTCGGCGGCCGCGGCCTCCCAGCGCACGCGCGCGCCTCGGTTTTGCGCTCACGAGGCGACGGTGACGGAAGCGGTCACGTGAAACCCAGGCAGCCGTTGATTGAGAAGACTCCGGCTGCGCTTGCGCTTCTACTCTCCTCGGCTCCGCCCACATCATTCATGACAGTTCTTTTCTCCTCCTCCATTAGCAGAGAAGCGGCTCGGGGAGAGTTAGTCGGTACACGTCACTCCGTGCGTGATCGGGCGGGGCCAGTGAGGTTAAGCAATCTCGACGTGGCAGTGATTTCCTCGTGGGGGCGGGAGGATGTGGGTGGTTGGAGGGGGCGGAGCCACTGTTCTCTTCACCAATCACAGGCGTCTTATTGATAAATTGACACCGGTAGCTGAGGGGAAGCTTCAGAAGGGGTGGAGACTCTTTTTTACAGTATTTTGACAAAGGGGTAGTAAAACGATGGTAGTACTGCTTTTGTATGCATGTGTCTATTACTAAAATAATAAAAATAATTATAAAACAAATAAATATGACTCCCCCCAAAAAAGTATGCACCTACACATCCGCCAGGAAAGGGGGGAGGAAAGCCAAAATCTGCTTGATTTTTTAATCATTACTGCCCTGTATATTCATACCTAGAAATAAGCCCTATTGTAGGTCTTCCTTTGAGATAAAGTGGCTACGGTTTATAGGCTTAAATTAATTTCGCGAGCAGAATGTGCAAGAGCAATCAGTGGCCTAGGTATAGGAAAGGAACCTATAGTTATAAACACAAATGAAAATGAGACGTGATATCGCTTTGAACATTCCCAGTTAATGTTTGTTTATTTGATTTATATTTCTCCCCTAGAACTGGGACCCAAGGCATCTTAAAATTAATTCTGTGGCACCGTTAAGGATACCAAATTTTATCTAGCAGAAATTTTCATAGATTGTAGCTCCAGTAGACAAGAGGATAGGATTATGAAAAAGTATAATCTGCAGCCAGTGGGAGATCTGAAAAGATTGTGGGATTATGATCAGATGGCTTTGATACTTGTATCAATTGCTGCTTCTTATACTGAGTTTTCTGAAGCATCTAGTTCAGCACTAGGTTCACCAAACGTATAATATTGTATGGTACTATGTAGTAAAAATATAATATGTGTGGTTTTTTAAAAAAATTTTTTAAATAAACATTTGACCTAAACAACATAAACCTAACACGACAATAAAATACAGTTACATAATACAACAGTGCCACTTTCACCCTCATATAATAATATGTTTTAAAACATAATAATATGTTTTAAATTCATTCAATCCATTTTCTCTCCAAAACTTCATTGTTTCTTCCCTCAGCGTATACCCCTTCCCTCTCCGGAATACATATTCCAAGAATACATTCCCTATTTTTCTTAAAATCATTATTTTTGATAGGCCTCTTCTTATTTTCATATCACATGTCAATTTATCGTTAATTGCCATATCCCATAGTTCTCAATATCATTACTCTAAATTAACTGGTTTGTCATTTTTCCAGTTTCTTGCAAAAATTAACCTTGATGCTGTAACCATTATTACAATTAAACCCTTATTTTCTTTCAGCAATTGACCTTTCTTAACCATGGTCAATAAAGCTATTGACAGGGACATTTGAATATTTAATCCAGTTATTTCCCTTATTTCTTTAAAAATTTGCTTCCATTCTTGCTTTCTTTCTTCACATAACCACCACATATGTAAATACATCCCGTTCTCTTTTTTACACCTCCAACATAGTGATGATACATTTTTATTTATTATACAGTATTCAGTTTTACCAGCATTAAATACCACCTCCATATTACCTCATATGTAACAATTTTCCTTTATCCTTACAGACATGTTCTTCATAATTATTTCGTCCCACATTTTATCCCATTCTTCTCTTAATGCTTCTTTATCCAAATCATTTTGCCACTGTGCTTTTAATCCTTGTGTATCCTGTTCGGCCTGAATTAATAATTTACATATTTGACTTACAGTTTCCTTTATTTCTGTCTTTTCCTCTAATTTCAATCTTTTTTCAATAATCTCTTCAAATTTGTCATTATACTACTTTTCTCTTCCTTACTTTTCCATTCCCTTGTCCACCTTTCTATTTGAATCATATTAAACCAAGAGATCCCCTCTCCTCCCAAAATTTCTTATATATTTCCTTTATCTTTCATCTTCTCCATCCAATCTTTTATCCTATTTATCCCTTTATCTTTTAATATATTCTTAAGAGGGTTTTTTAAAGGATTTTCTGGAAAATTCTTTAAACCCACAACCTGGAGTAAAGCAGAAATCGGTGGACTCAATATGCCTCTAAACTTTTTCCAATTTTCTAAGATACTTTTAAGGAAAGGGTTAGTAATCCTTTTAATCTCTTCTCCAATCTTTTCTTCAAATAATATACTTTTAGTTTTTTCCTTCCTTAACCCTGCATTTCTATTTCTGTCCAAATTAAATTTTTATTACCTTTAATAATATCTGGGATACGTCTGAGTTGATTTGCTGTATAATATAATTTTAAATTGGGTAACCCCCCAAATATAATATTTGTATAATGCACACAGTTTCTGCATAATACAAGATGCTTTGTATAATAGAAAAAATGTCACTTTCAATTAATGTATATTATATAATTACTTATAATTACTTATATAATACTTAGTTATATGCTAATTTATGCAAATATTTCACGTTCAGGCTATCATTTCTGTATTAACCTGGAGAAACATTACAACAGTTTTGAACTAGCTTAAGCCCTATATTCTGCACAGTCATAGTTAATACTTATGTAACAGGTTTTAGTTCCATGTGGCTATTTGTTTACTTAAATATCTAACACTGAGCCTTGCAAACACAATTTAACAAAATTAGTCTCTTCTTATTCACAGTTGTATAACAGGCAACAAGAGAAATTTTAACAACAAAATGCTACAATTTGTGCACCCAAACAGCACCAACACAGAGGTTGCTTGCAGAATTTCAAAACAAACTCAGACAAAAATCCAATGTATTTTTCTAAACTGAGTTGAGTACTGTATCGGTAACATAGAAGAATTAGCTCCACATTCAGAGTCTTCAAAACCTTAGAATAAAATATCAGTTCAGTTACATATACAGTGGTACCCTGCATGACGATGATAATTCCATAGAAATTGCTGTTTAGCGAAATCATTGTCATGCAAAAACCGTTTCCCCATTGGAATGCATTGAAACCCATTTAATGCATTCCAATGGGGAAAATACATCATCGTCCTGTGAAGATCGCCCATAGGGAAGCCATTTTGTGAGCACCGATCAGCTGTTAAAATGGCTGTCCTGCGAAGCATGGGTCCTGAAAACACAGGGAAGCCATTTTGCGAAGCCGCCTACCAGCTGTAAAAATCGTCGTCTTGCGAAAAAACGGTCTGCGAAGCACGGACCAAATCATCATCCAGCGAAAATCACCCATTGGAATCACTGTTTTGCGAATCGCTATAGCCATTGCAAAACCTCATCGTCATGCAGATTCATCATTTTATGAGGTCATTGCCTAGTGAGGTACCACTGTACATGATTTCACTATGTGGATTCACTCCTCCAACACAGACATATAGGAAGTATACCTAGACCAAGGTGGTGAAGGCCACAGCAGTCTAAGTGGCAACAGCAGCGCCAACCAATTCAATTTTCCCGCTCCTTCTGATTCAAATCTCTTACTCACAGCCTTTCTTAGTCCCACCTTTTTGGGCTGAACCAATATTTCATAGGGATTATGTATTTGTCTGGGTCCAAGGGAAAACAAAAGTTTTCAGTTACAGACACCACAATATGTTATTATAAACTTATTATATATGTTTGTGATGAGATGAACTGTCTCAATGCAAATTGTTGTTGTTTAGTCATTAAGTCGTGTCCAACTCTTCGTGACCCTATGAACCAGAGCACGCCAGGTCCTCCTGTCTTCCACTGCCTCCCAGAGTTGGGTCAAATTCTTGTTGGATAGCTTCGATGACTCTGTCCTACCATCTTGTCGTTTGTTGTCCCCTGCTCCACTTGCCCTCACACTTTCCCGACATCAGGATCTTTACCAGAGATGAACTGTCTCAATGCAAATTGTTGTTGTTTACTCATTAAGTCATGTCTGACTCTTTGTGACCCCATGGACCAGAGCACGTCAGGTCCTCCTGTCTTCCACTGCCTCCCAGAGTTGGGAGCTTCAGTGCCACTGTTGAACCATCTCGTCCTCTGTCGTCCCCTTCTCCTCTTGCCTTCAAACTTTCCCAACATCAGGGTCTTTTCGAGAAAGTCTTCTCTTCTCATGAGGTGGCCAAAGTATTGGAGCCTCAGCTGCAGGATCTGTCCTTCCAGTGAGCACTCAGGGTTGATTTCCTTCAGAATAGATAGGTTTGATCTCCTTGCAGTCCAGGGGACTCTCAAGAGTCTCCTCCAACATCACAATTCAAAAGCATCAATTCTTCAGCGGTCAGCTTTCTTTATGGTCCCGCTCTCACTTCCATACATCACTACTGGAAATACCATACCTTTGACTATGCGGACTTTTGTTGGCAAGGTGATGTCTCTGCTTTTTAAGATGCTGTCAAGGTTTGTCATCGCTTTCCTCCCAAGAAGCAGATGTCTTTTAATTTTGTGGCTGCTGTCCCCATCTGCAGTGACCATGGAGCCCAAGAAACTAAAATCTGTCACTGCCTTCATATTCTATTTGCCAGGAGGTAATGGGACCAGGGGCCATGATCTTAGTTTTTCTGATGTTGAGCTTCAGGCCATTTTTTGCACTCTCCTCTTTCATCCTCATTAAGAGCTTCTTTAATTCCCCCATCTTTCTGCCATCAGAGTGGCATCATTTGCATATCTGAGGTAGTTGATATTTCTTCTGGCAATCTTAATTCTGGTTTGAAATTTCTCCAGTTCAGCCCCAACACACACCTTTTTTGAACCTCTGCATATAAGTTAAATAAGCAGGGAGACAATATAGTACAGCTTTGTCGTACTCCTTTCCCAATTTTGAACCAATCAGTTGTTCCATATCCAGTTCTAAGTGTTGCTTCCTGTCCCCATAGTCAGCGGACTGCCATTTT